TTTTTGCAAGGTCTACTTCTATACCATTTTCTGAAATCTGATGTCCTAAAATAATTCCTCCTACTACCATAATTGGCATTTTTTCTAGTTGAGGACTAAATGTGTTTCTTCCCAGCGCTTAAGAACTTTTGATAAATGTTCCAAACATGATTCAAATTAAGTTCCAAACACTAAAAAATCATCCATAAAAACTTCAATTCCTTTTTTAATTATATAACAGAAAATAGCCATCATACATCTTGTAAATGTAACAGGGGCATTACATAAACCAAAGGGCATTCTTCTAAAAGCAAATGTACCATAAGGGCTGGTAAAAAATATTTTCTCTTGATCCTTATGAGCTATTTGTATTTGGTGATAACGAGTATATCCATCCAAAAAATACAAGTATTTATGCCTAGCTAGTCTATCCAACATTTGATATAGAAAGGGAATTGGAAAATGATCTTTCCTAGTGTCGAGACTTAATTTTCCATAATCAATGCATATTCACCACCCTGACACTTATCTTATTGGTATTAACTCATTATGTTCATTCATAGTCACGATCACTCCTCCTTTCTTAGGAACACATTGAATTGGACTAAATCATGCATTATCTGAAATAGGGTAGATAATTCCAGCATCTAATCACTTTAAATTTTCTTTCTTAACAACCTCTTTCATAATAGGATTCAATCTCCTTTGAGGAACAACCCTGATTTTGTAGTTCTCTTCCATATGAATTTTATGCATACAAATTGAAGATCTGATTCCTTTTATATCAGCAATTCTCTGTCCAAAGGCTTTCCTATAACTCTTTAAAGTTTTCATTAAACTCATTTCTTCTTATGTAGTTAATTTTGAGGAAATTATAAAATGTAATGTTGAGGAATCACCTAAAAAGACATACTTTAAATGTTCATGAATTAACTTCAACTTAAGTTTATGAGGTTTTTCAATCGATGGACTAAAATATTTATCTTTTTCTGTCATGTCAAAAAATTTAAAACTTTCTCGAACTTAATTTGAATCTTCCTTATAAAAATCTTCAAATTAATATAATTCCTCTTCTTGCTTGCGTTCCAACTCTTTCATTTCATATTTCTCTTCACAAGTTGTTTTGAAATGACATTTTTTGAAATGACATTCACTAAATGACATTCACTTAAATATCTTATCACAATCATTCTATGGCATTCATCATCTTTACCTTTTGTAGGACATTTTATTGATTTAGAAATATTAAATGTTAATTTCTGATCATTGACGCACATAGTTAATTCCCCTTTCTGTACATCTATCATTGCTCTTTCTGTAGCCAGAAAAGGTGTCCTTAAAATGATAGGTATCTCCTTAACTTCCTTTATATCTAACACAATGAAATCAACAAGAAAGATAAATTGATCTACTTTCACTATGACATCTTCTATAACTTCTATAATCACTATGACATCTTCTATAACTCCTTTAGGATATGTTATTAAACGATCTGCTAACTGCAAAGTTACCATAGTAGGGGATATTTCTCCTAATCTCAATCTTTTAAACATTGATAATGACATAAGTTTAATGCTTACACCTAAATAAAATAATGCTTTCCCATAAAATCTGTCTCCTATTGCACATGGAATTGTGATGTTACCAAGATCTTTAAGCTTTTTATGAAGCTTTTTCTGAATTATAGCACTGCACTTCTCACTATGTGCAACAATCTTGTTATCTTTGAACTTCCTTTTCGTATTATGAATATCCTTCATAAAGTTCATATAGCTCGACATTTATTCTAAGGCTTCAGTAAATGGAATATTAATTGTAAGCTTCTTAAAATTTTTAAAAATTTTGAAAATTGTTATCCAATCTTTGTTGACGGAGTCTTTGAGGAAATGAAGGTGGTGGTTTTTTCAAGTTAACTTTAAGTGGAGAAATAGGTCTCTCCAAACCTTTTAGAGCATCCTCTTCAGGCTCTTCATTTTTTTTTCTCTCTACTTTAGTCTCTTTTTGAACTCTACCTTCCAATTATCTTCTCCTTCTAAGTTGAATGGCTTTTACTTGCTCTTTATTATGGTCATTAGGATTTACTTTAGTATTACTAAGAAGTGTTCCTTGGGATCTATTACTTAATGAATTTTCTATTTGTCTCAATTGATTCTCAATATTTATAATTATAGCTCCTTGACTTTGTAACTAATTTCCCATTTGTAACACCACTTCTTCTATAGATAACTTTTTCTCCTTAAATTATGGATTAATGTTAAAACCCGAAGGTTTTCATCTTACTTTTAGAGGAAAGAATCCAGGTATTGTGTTCTTCATTATCTTGTAATTAATGTAAACAAATTTAGTGGATTTGTTTTCATTTAATGAAGTTTTGTGTTGTGTTTTATCTATGCTTGATGAATATTTTTTTTACTCATTTATTTTGATACGAAGTAGTGATATGTGTAAGAAAATTTGTTTAATGATATAATAAATTTTATTTTAATGAGATGAGTAATATCTTCTTTACTTCATTGACCTAACTTAAGTGACAATAGGTCATGTTAAAATCTGTTGTAAGAGAAACTAAGAATCGGGAAAGTAGTGATCTTGTAACTTGAGTGCACTCACATTGCCCGGTTGGTTATGGTAAAATAGTTTAGGTGGTAATGCAACTTTTAAGGAGACATAATTAATAATCTATTTCTATTAGGAGTATCTAGGTGACTAATAGTTGCATAAAACAAATAGAATACTAAGCGTACCTATACACTCAGAAGAGGGTAGGTAAACATATGTTCCTTGTTGGCACATAATTTATTATATAATTCTATCAATTCTTTTAATGATTATGCCATCATGTTCATTTTACTTTTCTTTTGCAATGAAATGGATGCATGTGAAATGGATGCATGTTTAGATGCATGTTTAGGAATTTATATTTGCTTAGATCTACTCTTATTTCATTAATGTGATGACATCTTCACCGGTTCTTAATTTACTTTATAAACTAGTCATTTGTGATGTTAAAATCCATTGCGAAATATAATGACCCAAGAGGGCTATGATTTCACCAAATAGTGGTACCACACTAAACGTTGGATGGAGTCGTTGCAACTTTCAAGTGTGAGGACAAATAAATAGGGAGATAAGTTTTGATGAGTGTATAATTGGTGTTTCTAGGGAGATGGGTTAGATCCTTTACCAATTTGGTCTAAAGTTGGAACTAAGGATCTCTGGTTAGTCATATAGAGAGGGCACAGTGGGTAATCTAGAAGCGAGAAGCTAGAATCTACTCAGTATAACCATACAAGATGAAACTAACTTTAGATTAGCTAAGGCTCTTTATGCTCGGAAGGGGTAAAGAATATGTATGCTCTTATTTAGCATCAACCACATTAAATTCTAAGCATTTTATTTCAACATATGATCAAGGACATCACCTGAGAAAGGTAGTTTTTAACTTCTCAAAATTGTTCAAACCAATTTCTCTAGTTAGGTTTATCTTTAGATTTAGGTTTGTATTTAAGAGTCGTTATTAGAAAAACTGCCTTAATAGTCATTCCAAACCTAAGACCGGACAATAGCAAATTAGAATTAAACAAATGGTTCTTACCTCGCTTCTCTGTGGGATCAACTCTCTGGTCTTAAAAGAAAACCATATACTACTTATAACAATCAGTATACTTGCGTAGAACCTTTAGTGTATAAAATATAAATCAATTCTAAATTCTATGATATATCCATTTTGCACATTAGCCTCCTAAGTAAATTGGGTCAAATTTTTGGCCAAGAAATTAAATATCTGGGTAATTACGGGTCGGATCAAGTATTTAGCGCCGCCCCAAGACATTGAAATTAAAATAATTATACATATATTTATGCGCACATTCTAGGTGGCATCAGTAGTTTAATAATTTTCTTGAGAAAAAGTTTTTCTATGCGAGAGGTGTCATTAGTTTTTGAATATGATAAGAAGTACAATCTTTGGGAGAATATATATAATAATTATAAAAATTATCATGCCAATAAAATGTTCTTAGTAATCTTAAAATGAAGTCCATGGAAAAATTCTTTGATTGTCAGTAGGGATTGTGAAGGCAACATATTTTCTACTTTTGCTTATTATTTTTGCAAGTCTACATGATAATGTACAATGACAGTTCAACATCCTTTTTAGGAAGGGCAGAAAAATTTATGATTCTGTCAGCTTCATAGTTTTATCCTTTTCAAAATGTTCCCCCTAAATCCTATAAATGAAGCTCAAAACAAAAAAAATCTCAAAGAGAAGACTTAAGGATCAAAGCTTATTTTCAACATAAAATTTTCAAAAAGAGTAGAAAAAAAGGTTACTAAGATTAAGAGAAATATATAATGAACGCGACAAATGAGATCAAATTCATTATAGTCATTGTAGTCGATTTTAGAGAAGCTAAATTTATGTGATTCTAGGAAGGAGATGACTAAGATAACTTGGGATAGTGTAAAATTCAAAAGATAGAATTATGATAACACTAACACTCCCATCATGAGGAAAAAGATTTTCGATGTACTATGAAAGGAAGAAGACGAGGAATTTTGTAAATACTACAAATAACGTTCTCTCGTGTAATGTTTGATTAAAATTTTAAGTTATTAATGAATAATTAAATAAGGAAATTTGTTACTTCAATTATGATTCAATTAATGTAAATAAAATTTATTGGAAATAAAACCACTTTTAATGCTTAATATGATAAAACAAAAGTATATTTAATTAGAATTACTTTTATGTAAATTGAGTAAATAAAAATTATTATTTATTGAATTTCTTAACCAAGATATTATCTTGTGCTTATTTCATAATAATAAATTAATATTCAATGATTAACTAGTTTGATGAAATTATAATTAATGAGTGACTAACTTAATAAATTATTAATTAATATTTATATAATTAGAAATAATTAAAAAATAAAATAAATTTACTTTATTAATTATAACATTAGCATATAATATTATAATTATACTACAAATTCAATACGTTTCAGTCTTATCAATTTCAAATTAAGAGGTTACTGAGTTCTATTGCTTTTAAGCTAAACAGCTCCATGAGTTTTGACAGATGAATGGGCAAGGGAGGAACCGTCGCTTATGGATTGTGGCCGAAGCCTCTCTACAGCCATCGCTAATGTCCACTGAGACCGTGAGCTCTCGTAATTTCTGTTCAGAAACGTTGTTTCCATCCGTCGTCGTGCTATTTCTCCTCCTTTGAACCGCTGCCATCGACGATGAATTCGACGGCGCTTCTGCAGCTTCCGTTTCCTGGATATGGTACCACCGCTCTACCCTGCCACCAAGCCCCCCAGCCTAGAACCCCTTTATTTGTTCTTTATTCCAAATTAATTTATCGGAAGAATGGGCCTCAGATTCTCAGGTGAATCTTTCTCACCCTTGAGTCTTTATTGGTATTTTATTGCTTTTTGCGGTGCTTCGAACTTTTGATTCAGCATGTTTATGGATAATGGAAGAGCTAATGATTTTTTTATTTTTTTTTATTTTAGGTTCTTTGTGGGTAGATTTGGGTGTAACATACTGTTGACTTAAGGAAGAGGATAGGACTTCCTTTTTTTTTAATAGACTTGAAATTTGGTTATTAGGTCAAAAAGGAAAATATGTTGAATTTCTAACTATTTTTCAACTAAAATTGGCTTGCTTTGATGAGTTTGACACGTCATGTAGTTAGAATTTCTGTTCTTGTTTTAACGTGTTTAACGACTGTACTCAAACATGGCCGTGAAGGCCATTGTATAATGACGCTTCTTCCATAATTTATAGCGGAAGATTTTATTGTACTGTTAAAGGTCAGCCGCCCCACCTACATTTTGTGTTGGAGTTGATAGGTGACCTTCCTCATACTCGGAATTCTAGTTTTATGGACAGTTCACTGTTGCTGCATTTAACAACTACTCGGAGTCTCTGACGTTTAAGTTGCTCAAAAGTCCATCTTTCATAACGTATATGGAACTTGCCTCCGCCTGCTAAAAGTTCTGAATTTGTTGTGCCGTCTGCATCAACAGTTGAGTTGGCTGTTTGCATTTTGAACAATATCAATATAATAAACCAAGACACTGAATTAGATTGGTTGTCCGATATTCCAAAAGTTGATCGAACTCAGTGATTTCTTATGTCTGTACTCAACACACTTTTGCTTGTATGGAGTGTGGGGAGGTTGGGCTTTGAGAAAATTAATTAGAGCCCCAAATCAGGAGTATATTCACATTACGTGATAATATAGTTATCACTATTCCAGTAGCTACAATTGGGATGATGTAGAGCTGAATGAAATAGTCCAGTTAATGGCATCAGGTGTCACTAAGAAACAATTTAGATTTTCTTTTAAAGTTTTTTGTAGGATACTAGACTGCATCGTTTATGCCAATGAATTATTTCATGCCTCTTAATGGCTCTAACCTTATGTCTTCAGTCATTTTTGTTTGTCGAGATATTTTGCTCCTTTTGGCTGCTAGAAGGTGATTGAACTTACGTTTGAAATTTTTATTGTAAAATTTTTCATTTATATAGTTTTGGTAGTTTCATTAGATTTGATTTCTCTTACATTTTTATTATAAACTATTACACGGGTATATAAAAAAAAATTATCTAATTAGAATTCAAGTTATGCTATACATGAAATATGATAGGACCTTACTGATAGAATTCTAGCTTAAATTGCTAGTACGTAAGAGTTTAGTAAAACTTTATTAAAAATATAAGTTTTAGCCAAACTCTGAAGTTTCAATCAAAAACTTACTATGCTCAATTAAAACTCTTTAAGTTTCTGTCAGAACTTGTGAAATAGTCGAGCTGAAAATATTAATGAGTTTTTGATCGATTTGAACTGAAACAAAATTGCAACACTGATATCAAATTGAAACACTAAAACCACGGACATGATCATTTCTGGTCTATTCTTTTTTATAATTCATTTTATGTTATGTCTATAATCTCATTTCATAATACTTATGTGAGAGAATCATGAATATCAATGATGCGGTGCATTTATGTAGATGCCAATCGACTACTACAGATGAAAATAAAGTGAATTCATTGTCCAGTTCTAATGAAGAATCTAAAGTGAAAAGAAATCTTCTTGACAATGCAAGCAATCTTCTTACAAACATCTTAAGCGGTGGAAAGCTAGGATCTATGCCGATTGCTGAAGGTGCTGTGACAGATTTGTTTGGTCGGCCCCTATTCTTTAAGCTGTATGATTGGTTTTTAGAGGTGCCAACTCTCCTTTCTCATTGCTCCATCATTTTACTGTTCAGTCCCATGAGTGATTTTGTTACTATCAATTGCACGTATTCATGCCATCTGCTTTAAATAAGATTATAAAGTTCCATCTTAATGCACTATTACAATCGCCATTGTGCATCCAAAATTCCAATTTAGGGAATATGAATTGCATTCTTTTGCATTTACTATTTTATGCTACTTTTCATTTCTTGAAAATTAATTGCTCAGCATACTTCAACATTGATACTACTAACGTCCAGTTCGGTTGTCTTGTTGTACTAAGAAGCATAGTGTGGGAAATGAGAATAGAATTAAACAAACACTCTCGAGGCAGCTGGGTATAGCCTGTCCTACATGTTCAATTTTATGACACCAATAGCAGATAAATATGTACTTCGTTATCCCATGAATGAACATTATCAATTATTTTCCTTTTTCAGGTTTGATGAACTTAATATACAACATTGTCCTCGGATTATCCTTTGAATTTTTTACCTTGATTATTTTCATAATTAATATTTTTTTCCTTTGCGTTTTTTCCTTTATCTATAGAAGTATCTTCTAACAGTTCTAACGTTATACTTACAACCAGGCACAACTGGGAAGGGGTTCATGTATGCGTGGATGCTATCTATTAAAATTGATTCTCTAGATATTACTGACAGCATACCTTGATTATCAGGTCTTATATTGACTGCCATTTGGTGCTGACACAACATTTTTGTCCGTTCATTAAAATTTATAGCTATGCTGCTCTCTTCTTGCATTTCAGCCTGTGCCTAACAGATTATATGTATTCTCATCCAGTTAGATATAGCATTTTACTCGAATCCAGGTGAATTATAGTAATCACATCCGTGCCTGAATGAATTGAACGCCACTTCCCTGTGAAAGCAAGTCACAAGAAAAATTTCACTTTGTTTTCCATCCTTACTCTCTGTTTGCCATACCTAGTAGCCCATCATTTGAACCATAAGACTCATACGAGTTTTATCATAGATCATACTTTCACCTACATAATCCCACTAACTTGTTAGTACCATCCTTTTCTACAGCTGTTTTCTCAAATGTACAACTATTACTGTCAGAAACTTTCGCTGCCAATGACAGTGGAATTCTTCCTCTGATCTTCTCCTTTTCTTTTGCATACCTTGACAATTCTTCTATCATAAACTATGCTTCCTTTTCTAATGTGGCCTCTATTTCATCCATGTCAGTTGGAAGGGCTTTCCAAATAGCAAGCGTTTTGGCTGAAGCTTGTTTTTGATGTTATTATATTCCATTAATTGCTTACATTAAGACCATGATGAGCATTTGTCAATAGAGTGGATTATTTTGCGCCTTTCAACATTCTGTGTTATTTTGCAGCTTGGTTCGGTTTACAAACTTGCATTTGGACCAAAATCATTTGTGGTGATCTCTGATCCTATTGTTGCAAGACATATTCTTAAAGAAAATACATTTTCCTATGACAAGGCAAGTTGTTTTATGTTCAAGATAAATTCTGTAGCTTGTTTACCTAATTCATGTATGATATTGTGGTCTTTTTTTGACTTACAGCATATCATAAGTACACGTGGCTTACTTGATTTGACTGCTACATGAATTTTTGTTTTGATTCATTGGTTATACAAGTTTTCTTCATTTCTATTTGGCTGATGACTATAAAGCTATTACAAGATATAGTCAATTGGTTGTCATCTCTATCTGTTGTACTAACTGTTTAGAAAATTTTGAAATGCGAGCCTTGGCCTATTCTAAAATTTACCTTCCTGTTGAAGCAGCCTTGGTCTTGTAAATAGCATCTAAATCCGTTTGGTACTGCTCTAGATAGACGGAATGCATCACCAACTGCAAACGTTATTCAGCTGGTCTAGTGAATTGCTGTGAGTCTTTAAGAGCTGGAAGGTAACCTAACTTATTTTTCTTTAGTTTGAGCCAAGTCAAATAAATTGGATTGTAGAGTAGTTTAAAATTAGAGGATGAACATGAATGTCTTAAGGCCTAATCTCTCATAAACATTGGTTGTCATGCGGTTTCTCTGGATGACATCTATGGGATGTTTATTGTTTCACCACACAGCGTCATACTCATGGCGCCGCTTGTGTTGCTTGGTGCTTTCCTCTCTTGTCTTTGTTCTTCCCTTCCAAACTACGTGGCATGATTTTCTTAATGAAGCAAATGGACGACTTCATTGCTCTCGCTTGCAGATAGGTTTATAGGAGTCAGTGCGGCAATGTACGGGACATTGGGATTCACACAATAACATTCACGTGGAGCCACTTGCATAGCTCGGAGTCCACGTTGCCCTGATTCATTTGCTATTTGCTCGTCTTGTGTTTCCCATTGTTATTTTTCTGTGTGGCTTAGGCGCAGGTTTTATGGGATTCTGATTAGGCTTGTGAGTAATTGCTGATGCAGAGCATCATGACCCCACTTTACCCTTCTGGCTCCATGCAACACTTATCGTTCTATTGTCTTCTTTTTCATTTGTGCTAGATGTTTGCTTTTTGTCTTCTATTTGTGATGTGTATGATCTCTTCCGTTGATTATTGATAAAGGATCTTCTAAACTTCTAGTTTCATCATTAGCCTATTTAGTTCCCAACTCTTTCTACAATGAATTATCCCATGGCCTTGATTGACCCTCGGGGGAGGTCACCATCTTCTACCCTTTGGCCTTTGATGCTTTTGAGGTTACTCCTCTCCCTTTTTCGCTAACAGTTGAGTCTCTTTTGTCTCAACCCCAATGTTTTTTTGCAAATGTTATTCTTGGTTCGATTGTTGCAGATGTTTTCTCCATCCACTAAATAATTCTTTAATTTTTTTATTAGAAATTAGACACTATTTAACACAAACAACCGTCATCTTTTTGGGGTAAGCCTGCTTCTCTTGATTGATGAGGAGATTTCTGAGCATTCTAGGCTTCACTTGCTCTCTTTTTATTGGAAAATTTTCTCTGTGTCAACCACACATGAAGGTAATTTGCATGTTATTGTTGGATTTATAGCTGTCAAGTGACTATTTTGTTGGGCTCATCACCTCTTGGCATGTTAGAATAAGATTTTTTTTAGCAAAAGATTTTGTTAAACTCTTCTCATGATGATCATATTATATTCATGGGCTCTCGATGCTTATGTTATAACATTTTCCCCATTTTTATAGCTCCATTAAGCCTTTTTTCAATTAAACATTAAATTTATTTATGATATTTTTGCACTATTTCAACTAGGCAACCTTATTCTTTTTTACTTTTATCATAAGTTTTTTGATGTTTTGAGGCTTATTTGGAGTTGAGAAATCCTTAATTGTAGTTGACAAGGAGACATACATGCGAGGCATCCCACATCGAAGGAAGGGACCCGACTGGTTGTCTTAACCGAACCTAACCAGGATTTTTTCCCTTTTGATGAGTTGGTCGGTCATTGTGGGCCATTCCTAATTATTCTCTTCTTATATATTTTCTTTGGTGAAAGTCTAGGGTTAGGTTTTGTGAGAGTTTGTTCAAGACTGCCGCCGGTGTCTTCTTTTCGTATGTAGAGCTATATCAAAAGGTTTGAGTGGTGCTTCGACTATATTTCCTTCTCGAGGCGGTGATTATCTTCCTTTTCTCCTTCCACATCATCACCACATTGCTCCCAACGGCCCCATCTCTGCTGCAGCCGCTCGAAACAACAGCTATTGCTGCTTTTCTTTGCATTTCCCTTTTTTCCAGCTGCCTTTCTCCCTTCTCAGCCTCGCTGCCACCCCAGACAGGTGTCTGCACCATTCCAAAACCTTTCCACATCATTTCCAATCACTATTTCTCACTGCTGCCATACAATAAATAACAAGTATGTTGTTTTCTTGTTGTCCTACCTCCCCCAAACAGTAAACTATCGCTGTTTGGACTATTGTGCCTTGCTGCCCTTCGGTTCCAGCCACCCATAATTGCTACCACCCCTCATCCACTGCTGGAGGCCCTTTCTCTACCTTGCCGCCGCCTCTCCAAGCCTCCTAAATGCACCACCACCATCACCACTCGAGATCTTCCTAACGTGGGTTTTTGTGTCGTGTGTGTTGTATTTTCCCTTTAAAATATATTTGATTGTAATCACCTATTTTCTTCCAGTATTAATATTTATTTTTCTTTTTCTGATTTCGGTTAACTTCGATATCATTTAGTATCAGAGCAAGTTAACCCTACTCCTATCCTAGGATTCCTAGCATCCACCTATACCCATCTTTATCTCCACCCAAAAATTTTCTTTCCCACTCTACATCAGCACATACATATTTTTTCGCCAACCCAAACCTAAATCCTAATCATGCCACTAAGTAGATGATAGCCGAAAGCTTGATCGAGAGGAAATGACACCATGCCGTTTATGAGAATAAATAAAAAGGTGTTTGAAAGATTTTTGGGGAGGATATGCAGTGGGAAACCCTCCAACTGTAACACAGACTCACTGCCTTTGAGAGAAGACCATTCAAAGTGGGCACACAATTTCCATTGGATCTCCGAGATGAAGGATCACTGCCCCGAAGGTTTGCATGAAATATTGGAAAAATCTAGATTTTGAAGTAAATGTGAATTTGCCATATTTCGATGGACATATGGATTTGGATGAGTTCATTGAGTGGCTCTGAGCCTTGGAATGTGCCTTTGACTGCTAGGACATTTTGCTGAATGGAATGGTGTAACTAGCTGTCAGCAGTTTAAGGAAGAGTTCATCCCAACGGTGGGCGAACTTGAAGATTCTTCAATAGTGAGAAGGGAAGAGTTACTACTTGTTCTAAGATGAAAAAAAAATGCATTGCCGGTACTTATCCACACATTATAGGCAATATATGTGCGTAAGGTTTCATCAGTTACAATAATATCACCGAATGATTGCCACATCTTATATATAGAGTTTAAACCCAATGTTCGTATAGTCAGAGTACCACATGGGAACATCCAAGCTGACACCGCCAGACGAGACACTAGTTTAGAGTATAGAACAGGTCGAAACAATCCACATTCTCTAATCCATCCCAACGAGGAAGTATTTTAAGTGATGTAGATTTGTATATGTTGAATCAGAATGCAAATCCAGGAGAATGATTTTTTTCACTGATCAGGAATCAATTGAAATAAATAATGTCTAGAGAAGATGAAGATTTTAGAGAAGATTTTCAACTTCCAGCTGGTAAGAAAGGCACACCAGTTAGTCTAGTTGACCATATGAGAGTGACTCCAACTCAATTAACAGTAGTTGTTCTGAAAGAAAATGAGTCATAGGTATTGGGTATTCATGCAGTGTATGAAATTCTGGTGCCTCGAGTTATCTTTTTGCAAAGGTTAAGAGAAGCATTAACAGGACTGCCATTGGATGTCCAAAAGGATTGAGTTTGAGGAGCCGATATTAGACACAAAACAATTTCTTGATAAGAGAATTTCAGACTATTGATAAATATAGTCCACTTCTTGAGTTATCCCCACTGAGGGAGGTCTAACATGTCAGAGATGAGATTTTTGTCACTATTGGAAGATTATATGTAGTTATTTGGGCGTTAACAACAGTGTACTAACTGACTGATGATCAGATATGATAGATGAACCACAATGTTGAAAATTGCTTTAGGAGCTTGATGGAAAAGAAAATTATATAATGGGAATCAGGTCATACTAGAGAAGAAGAAGAGACCTTTTTTGGGTAGTTGCTAGTGAGAGTTTCTTAGTTTGTCATTGATTTTATTTCGGAGTTGATTACTCACTACATACTTGTTCATCAAGTATGTTTAACGGAACACGAGAAGTGGAAGATAGAGTTTACGAATGTGATGGCTCATGATTTGATTCGTAAGAATAGTCGTCTAGCTACAATACAAGCTCAGGTTCTGCAGGTTCCGCCTAAAGAGGACGAATATCTATTCGATTAGGATATGCTTCGGAAGGACAACTCTTACAGGATTGACTTATTGAGATTGTACACTATCTCTGCCACCTTAAACGTGGCCAATAAGACGTCATACTATCAGGAGACAGAAGCTTCGAAGGATGAGGTCGAAGCTCCCTTAAACATGGGAGACTGACGTGGGGGCGTGACACGGGGCATCTCACGTCAAAGATAGTGATTGGACTGCTTGTCTGGATCGAAATGGTCCATATTTTTTTTTTCTATTTGGAGAATTTCGGTCCTCTTGGGCCCTTCTTAGTTCTCCACTTTATTTTTATCTGCTTTCGTAAGTCAAGGTTAGGTTTTGTGTGAGATTGTTCGAGACTGCCGCTTGTATCTTTGTTTTCCATCGAAGGCTGTATTTGAGGATTCGAGTGGTGCTCCGACTCTATCTCCTTCCCTAGGAGGTGATTATCTTCCATGTCCCTTTCCACATCATCCCCACATCGTTCTCGACTGCCCCGTCTCTGTTGCAGCCACTCAAAACAACTATTGTTGCTTTCTCTACAGTTTTTCCATATACAACCTCCTCTCACCCATTCCAGCCCATATGCCCC